CGGCCAATTTGGCAAATTTCAAACCCCCAGGATTTTACAAAAAATAATTGTCATTTATATCGACGAAAATTGACTGAACGAAAAAAAATTACACCGAGCATAAATATTCAGTTTTCTTCGAAAGAGGGAACCAAAATCACGTAAGCTGCCTAGAATTTTGTCAAATTTTATTTAAGGCTATGTATTAGCTCAATTTTGTTTCGAAATTGCTGGAAGAATGAAATTTTTGTTTCGTCAACCACTGAAAAGGGGAAGAGCAATGTCTTCGAGTGTGTTTTTGATTTCTTTCTATCGAAATTTTTCCAAACAAAAATAGGAACCACAAAAACTAGAACGGGCGGAGTGATATTTTCGATTGAAGCGCTTGTAGTCGCGATTCGAACAATCCGAGTAACTTTTCTTCATGAATCTCTTGTCCTTTTTAAATGAGTCTAATTTCGAGTAAGTAAAGCGAGCAATAAATTGTAATATGATGAAAAAAGCCGAATTTTAAATCAAGACAAGACTGCTCATATCAGGGCGAAGCCCTGAATGTTCCGACTGCCTTTTAGAGTCTATGAAGCAGAAATATGATGAAAAAATTAAATATAAAAAAATGAAAGAAAATTTGTTTAAAAAATTTGCGATTTTTTGTGAAACTCATCACCCCACACGCCATATAAAGTACAAAGTGATAAATTTAGCTTCCAGTAACAAATCAATTCTGGCAAATAAGCTTTTTTCAACCAATTTCGAACGATTTCTAAGACGATTAAATCTACGCTTACGCGTTAATAGCGCGAAATATATCGCGCGTTAATTGTCCCAAATTGACCAAAACGCCAATCTTTAAACCCCCATAACTTTACGAAAATTAATCACAGGTGAAATATCTTTTTTTATTTTAAGCTCAGGACAACAATACCTTTTAAATGATATAAAAAAAATCCGTCAAAAATGGCTGGTTAAAAAGTCGAAATTTGTCTGAAGAAAAAAAAACCCACCCGAGCACAAATATTCCGTTACTTTCGTATCGAAAGTCGGAACAAAAAGCAATTTTAACAAAGATAATTATTTTTCATGCCTTTGGCCAGCCATAAGTCAATGTATTTTACTCAAAGCGTCCCTGGAGTATTTTCGTGAAGTTGAGTTCAAAAAAGCTTTGAAAATAGTTTTTAGTAGTTTTGTTGTATGCTAGTGCCAATTGATTGAAAGTTGATCCCAGTATGTTACAGTTGAGAGATTTGATGAGTTTTAAATAATAATCAATGTAAAAACTATCTCTTGAGCGGCTTGAGATATACACATAATTACTGCTGCCCTTGCAGTTGCATTTTTTGCTACGCTTCTGTCACAATTCATGTGTTTCTCTATTTAAAACATTCTTCGTTTTCCCCAATGTTACGAGGAAAAACTAATAACACTTATTCTATTATAATAAAAAATGGGTTTCTCCGGCAAATTTGAAAGCAATGTTATTGTTCGACTTTTGCACAAATGTATTTCAGAGCTGTTCTGTTAAACTAAAATATGGTCATTTGGCTAGTTTGATTGAAATAAATGGAATCAATTCAGTTTTTAATCTTTACTTTGAATACTTTTTCAAGATACAATTCCCAGTTTTTCGATTTTAAAGTGACAACCTTTTATCTTCGAACTCAAAACTATTTTCAAAATGTTGTTTTTTCAAAATTTTACTCTGATCTCAAATTAGATTTCAAATAAATGGATAAATGGATATCAAGAGATTTCAAATAAATGAATTGCAGACTCAGACTCCTTTAGCAGACGCAGAACAATTAGCAAGTAAGAACACTGACTTCAAACACGGCACTGGCTATTAGCGTCCAAGCTGGAAAAATTAGCGACTTTCAAACGTCCATAATTTCACAAAAACTGATTCGAGGTACATTTGAACGTACCTAAATTTTTTCTACACTTGAACTTTCTCTACATTTAAACACTGGACAAAAATATATTTTAGATGGCAAAAACGCTTAGTTAAAAAGCTACTGCGTGAACAAAAACCTTCACAAGAATTAGTTTTACGCTCTTTTTTGAAATCAGGGCAAAGCGAATATTTTTCTGACAGTTGATTTGTACAATATCAATATTAAAGACTGAAATTTTATAAATACTTGATTGATCTTGGAATGAAATAACTGAATGAAAACATACTGAACTCATTTTCAAACCTAATTTAAACTTTCTAATTTTAAATATTTTGATTTTAAGTTATAGATATCACTGCTTTTATATGGAACCATTCCGAAGATCAATTAATTGTTTTTTTTTAATTAATTTTTTTTTGTGGATCATTAAAAAAACTCACTGCAAAATTTGAAAAACTCAACCGGGGGGTACTGTGGCCACTCACAACAAAAGATGACTGATCGAACAAGTAGCTGCAATTTCTAAGCAGAGCAATCTCTACAGCAAACAACTTGCGTAAAGCAACTATAGGGCATTATTATGGATTTTAACCGGTTCTGAAAGCAGCTTCAGAGAAGGTTTTGATTACTTCAATTATGCTGCATGAACCTGAGTACCATGGGGTGTGTTATTAAAAGAAACATGTATGCCAACCGTTGACGGAATTGAACTGATAGTTTTTTATAATAATATCAGTAATAAAAAATTGATAACTGGTTCAAAATCTAGATCAATTTCCAACAAATTTGATGTAAAAAAAATCCCATCTAATATTTACTCTGCAAAAATTGTGATACGGTTGTAGTTTTTGTTGTCAATTGAACTGATATAAAAAGTACAGTAATGGAATAAAAAAAACAGTCCCATACAAAACAGTCCAAAAACAGTTGAATTTTTTCTACCTTGGTTTTTGGAGCCGACAGAGTTGATTTACGCTTTGAAAAATCAAACATGAACGTAATTAAAGATCAAAGAACCAAATATTGAACAATCAATCAGATTAAAATTACAAGATTCAAAGTATTGATGTTAAAGCGTTAGACTTGAGATCGAACAAAAAATCAGATCAAAATCAAAAGCTTCAACGTATAATGGTTAACGCGTAAATTCTTGAGATCAAAAGGTCGAATCCTCGGCGGCAAGTAAAATTTTCCAATTTTCCAATAAAAGTTGAAGTTTTGGTGAATATGATAACGGTATATCTAGGGTACAACAAATGGTTCAACCTCAGAGATTTGTGCAATGGGGAGAAGAAAATAAACACCTTGTATGTATCATTTTTGCCGGTTTCAACTCGACTCTAGATCAGTATTGAATAATCAAGGAAGAAAGTTGAACTTTGAATTTTTTATTGCTTTGCAATGTGGAATAAACTTGAAAATTGAAAACAAAAGAAACTTCTGATTATGATTTAATATTATAATTACAAACTTTCAAAAATCCAATGATATTGTTGGGTTGATGGCTTAATCATGGCGCTTAAGTTTAGTTGAGTTTTTGATAGTGAAATTTTTTAGGTCTGATTACTTTTTTCCCTGCGCACAATTTTTCTAAAAATTATTTTGCATTCTTTATTTTCGTCCTTGAACTTCTCAATGATTTTTGGAAATGAAGGGTGCTTACTGTTGACTACTTTCACAAATTGACTGCTCCAAACTTCTACGGGGTTGCTGGGGCGGGAAAGGTTGTGTTTTATTCTTTGATGGCACTCAATTGCTCTATATTAAATCTGGGCTTCTGTCGTCCTTGAGAAGTCAGCCTACCAGTATATGTGTCCTCTCAAAACAGTTGTATATCGGTTGACATTCTTTACATGCCATGCTTTGAAAAAACGCAGCGGGGACGTCCTCTAAGGGCAGAAATGCTGTTGCGAAAAGCAATAGAATAAGGCCGCAAAATTTAGGGTCTTTGTTGTAGTTGTGAGTATTGCCTGACGACTGGACATGTCGCCAGACGTTTTGAACTAAATGAAAAAAGAAGATTTTAAGCGCAATGCTGAGTAACTATTACTGAATTCCGCACAGCTACAAATCATTTGAAAATAATTTTTAACGCATTTTGGGGACTCCACTTTTGGAACACTGAGGAGGCGACAAACAAATTCAGATAATTTCAAAACCTTTTCTAACGCGTTTTGGGGACTCAAGTTTTAGAACACTGAGGAGGCGACAAAAAGTATTTTTTCTTTCGTCGGGTAGCAGAGCTTGCTGATAGCAGACTTTTTGTCGGGTAGCAGAGCTTGCTCTATTTACAGCTTGCTGATTAGCAGAGTAACTTGGTAATTAGACTGCTGTTCTTCAGTTCACATCATGCTGGGTTGCAAAAATAGTCTGTCGTGGTGTTACATCAGAAGCTGTTTCTCGATCTTTAAGTGTTTTTCTGAACTTAAATTTTTCGATGTCATCTGGCTCGGGCAAGTGGCAATGCTCTTGAACGATCTCAAGGAAGTCACTATGCACACGTCCATTGTAACTAGTTTGTGCTGGTCGCCAGAAAAGGCAGTTTTTTGACATTGTTTGGTGTTTAATATAAGCATACCCTTCAAAACATCAGTAACTCAGAAGTTTTGTTTGCAAGTATAATTTCTAACGATAGTTAATGAATTTTGTTCCTATTGAATGTTGCCACGTGTTCACCAATGAAACAATAAAAACAACTTTCGAAAGTCGAAAAAACTACGCTCTGTTATGATAAGAGTGCAAATTGCGCAAAAAACTCTGACGTGATTTTACTTTTTTACTCACGAACATGATTGTTTAAAGGCAACTGTTTAAAAATTTGAGCGTTATATGTAATAAGTTTCAAACTAATCTATTACTTTGTTCAAAATTCACTTGGTGTTCACAAATGAAAAAAAAATTTATGTCTCGTAACCCTTGTTAAGGTCGGAACATTGTGCCCTTGCGAAGCTATGTATTGTATGAGCTTTATGTATGCTACAGCATGAATTCCGAAAAAAAATCTGATGCAAAGCGAGCCTTTATGAAAAATCTACTCTTGCTGGAACGAAAAAACGAAGCCGTAAAAACCCAGCCGTAAAAACATTACTGAGAAGTATTTGTACACTCGTATTTTTTTGAAAAGTTTGATGGTATTTTAATTAACTCAAATATTTATAGACTCTATTCGAATATCAATTACAAATTAGAATTCATTATTCAGTTCTCTTCTCAGCTCAGCTGGGTGAGAGAACGCGGCTAAGCATGGACGAATTACATTTTGAAGGGGGAGTTGATTTATTTTAGAATAAGTTCTGGGTTGGATGGACACAGGGTTCTGTATTTGTCAAGTTTCTCGTCTATCTTCGTGCCGAGTCTGACCCCTCCCCCACTCTGTTGCATGTACTTCTCCAGCTCCGCCTCCCTCAAGTACCTGCTAGGTTGACCTCTAGAGGTCAAGTTGTGGTGTGTTGTGGGCAGCTTAGATCCCGACAGGATGGACGCGTCTCTGAGAATAAGATTAAAATCACAAAACCTTCATTTTCCATTTTAGTAAGGATTAAAATTTCATATTACTATTTATAACGATCCAAAAATAGAAAAATGATAAACCTCAAAGCAACCAACAATTTTCCTCATTAATTCGCCATTTAAAAATTTCGCAATTCGCAGTTTCAAAAAATTAGGTCTTTATTCAAAGGTACTTTCAACTTTCGAATTTTGAGGTGAAGAAAAAATGGTCACAAAACACAAAATGGTTGCAACAAAATTTTTCAACAGTTCAAAATGGTTGCAACAAAATGGTCACAAAACACAAAATGTTTGCAAAGATGCTTTGACTCAGACTGCTGTGTCATAATGAATCGTCGATCAAAGCCACTCGGTGAAGTACTTACTTTTCCGTGAACTCTGGAGGAATGTGGAATTGGTCCAGCACTGACTCAGGTGTCAACACATTGTGAACATCCCTAAATAGGAATTCATTCTCATCTTTATGCTTTATTTTGAAGATTAACATTGAAAAGTTAGAAAAACAGCAAAAACAAATTTTAAGAACAAAAGTTGTATATGTTATTGCCTCTTAATACTTAATTGCATTGCAACCAAAAAACGACTTCTTAACTGTGTTTCAAATTGAATGATTGCTTCGATATGAATGACACTGCTGATTTTCACCTCAATCTTTTTTGTTGATTTTAAGAGAAAAATTAAGTTAAATATACAGTTCTAACTGTTCGTCGGATATAAGTTGTTCGTCTTCCTTGGATAGTCCAGACAACGCCTGAGGTCCCTCCAGAGGAATGACGTCAGCACAGAAGGGGTCAGTCCTGAAAGAGAAAAAGTGAAGACTAGAAACGACAAAAATCCAAAACTCGATAACGAATGATAGGAATCCCAAGCTAAAAAAATGACTCTTTCGCTACCCAAAGTTTACCACTTGGTACTCTTTTACGTCATTTATTTTGAGCTAACCGATCCTAAAAGTTTTCTACAGGCACATTTTAAGCTTATATATTGTAAATGTGAGGAGCGCACCTCAGTTAACACATTCCCCCTTTGAAAGAGAGGTTTTGGGGGAGGATGTTAACTTGAACCAAAAATAGTTTAACAGACACACTCACAGTCTAGGTGCGTATATGTTGGCCAGGGTGGTTGTGGCTTCGAGTGAAATGAGACTCTGGCTGGGATACTTCTTCCACAACATCACCCCCCTGATCACATCCTCCTCATCCACATACTTCTTCTGCGTCGACATGTGGGGGTTGGTCACGTGCATCGAGGTACTGTCTGGTCCGTCACGTGACACTGGCATCGTGTACCTGGCATAAAAACAGAAGTTGAATTGAATCTTGGGTTCCACATTGTTTGTAAAATATAACAATGAGATAAAGGAAAAAAGCAACTGTAAAGTGTTCAAACTCTCAAATTATATTGTTCCCAATTTCAAAAATCAATTTTTGGAGGCTATCGTAACATATGCAAGTTGAGAGATTACCTGGGCACTGGACATAGATGGAAGTCTGGGTCTACTTCTGAATATGCGATCGGATGATAGAATGTCATCATTCCCGGCATAGGATTCTAAAACACACTCTCACACAATTACATTTTCTTCCACTTCATCGACAAAACTCAGCTAAAATTGTCCCTTTTTGTTTTTGTTGAGCCTGAAAATAACTATTCTCTCCCATCGTAGCTCAATTTTTAGAAGGTAGGTTTCTACCCTTAATTTTGGTGATTACTGTAGAGTTATAAAAAACACTCGGAAACATCACATTTTATATAGTTTGGTACAAGTACTGGAATTAATTCTCTCAAAGGTACATTTTCTGCTCAATTGAAAATTGTATCTCTTTTTGTATATACCATCAACCACATCAACAAAAATAAATGCATACCGGCGGTGGCATTAAACATGTATTAATACATTGATAAAAATAAATTTAATACCGTATCTCGAGCTGAATTCTTATAGAATAGACTATTGTATTCTGGTGGATGGCAGGCTTAGCACAGCGGTTACTTCGTATAACTTGCTTAACTGGTAAAGCCTTAGACTGCTAATCTGAAGATTGTTGGTTCAATTCCAACGTTTACAACCTATAGAACCGCTCGCGCAACCCTGCATTATGCATTTTTTTTAACGAAGTTCAATCTAAAATCACAGTTATGGAATCAAAAAGTATGAAAGTAATCATTTTAGAGAGTTTCTAGCGCACAGGATTGGTGGTTTGATACCCAAACGAGTTCCACTTTTTCCGGGCTATATTCTGAAAATTAATTAATTTGTTTTGTAAGGCAAATTATTTAAAAAAATTAAGATCTTCCCTAATTAAGCAGAGCTCATTGATCAATGCAGCCTTCTACGAACTTGACCATTCAGTTTGCAATAGACCATCATAAATGAAATTGCAAAGCAAGTTTGAAAATTTGTTTCTTCGGGCCAAAAGAACTCAAGTTTTTAGAGCCGAAACACTCATGGTAAACAAAAACCACTCACGAAAATATGAAGCGGGTGATACTCGGGTGGCTTTGCGAGTAGAGGGGGAGGTTGCAGAGTTGTCAGACTCCTAGACTCTACCACACAGTTGTTCACAGGTTTGATCTCCTCGTTGTTCACAAGTAAGGCACTTGTAGTAACTGTATCCCCTCCTGCAGTGAAGGTGCGAGAGTCTCCCCGATGCAGGGTGGCTGTGTCTTGAATGCCACCTGATTGGATCACGTCAAGAGGAAGCGGCACTTTCACTATTTCATCCTGGAATTATATCAGAGCAAATAATAAACAACACCACGCGGAGCTGTACTAGCTGAAAATATTCTTCTGGCTAGAAATATCATTTCAAATTTTTTTTATATTAAACAATTTTTTCAAAAAAAAAGAAATTGAAGCACAAGAGGCGAAGTTGCACTTAGCGAACACAGGCGAACAAATAGCAAACATTAGCTCCAAAAAACCGAAGAAAAAAAGAAAATCGGAAACAAAACTTTGAAATATAAATATGCCGAAATCAAACTGCCGCCCCTATCTCCTGAATGACTATTTGAACTTTGTAATTTGTAAAGACTAGTCATCAAAAAAGTGCCAAATCGAACAAATGCTATTAAATTACTAATGCTATGCAGCAAACGTGAACAAAAAAACACAGAGAACAAAATGAGCAAAACTGTTTTACGCGAGTTGGCTTAGAAAAATGTAAATTCGCAATACATCACTATTCGCTAGCTTGCATGCGTGACCAAGCCATCGTGGAAACCAAAAATGAGCAATTTTTTTCCACTTTTAGCTAGATTTGAGCCTGAATAGCAGACATTTCAGAACTGTTTTCCACGAAAATTTGCAACCATTTTTTTCCAAAAACACGCAAAGCGGAGCGATTTGAAACACAGAGGCGAAGCTGCGCTTGACAAACACAAGCGAGAAAAATGCACAAAAGCTCTGAGCAGGCAAAACAAAGTGAAATAAGGAAGAGATTAAAAATACACCTTAAAAATTTTTTTTTATTAAGACTAGGTGTAACACGTTCTCACATCTGCTCCACGACCATTTGTAATTTTACTAACATTAGACACCAATAAAGCAGCTACAGTTTCTATCCAATTGCAAGATTATGCAGCAAAAACTCGACCAAAAAAAACTAATCAAATGTTCCGGATTTGATTATTCGACTTCTTGATTATGCATTTCTGTATTGATTCAAAATTATGCATTTCTGTATTAATCAATCAATCAATACAGAAATGCATAATTTTGAAAATTTCAAAAAAGTGGGCTTTACGCTAAACCCTAGTGTTTCTATGATTAAGTAGGGGAATGACCAAAGATTAAAAAAAACTACTACTCGCTCTTTCAATTGAAGTCTTCATCTCAGATTTATTTGGCTGGGTAGTTTTCGAAAAAACTGAAAAAGATTCCAAAATCGATCAAAAAATCAAAAACTTAACTTTTCCTAAATTTATAAATTTTTCTCTACTAAAGCAAGGAAGTACCCTCTGTTTTTAAGACTACTTTTTACTTTGATGATTTCCGCACCCTGAGTTTTTAGATTGAACATTTAACATTTAATATCAGATTCAGTTAGCAGTTTTCGAGAAATGTGAAAAAATTTCTAGAAAAAACTGTAAAAATTTCAAGAGAAATTTTTCCGAAGTCCATATCAGTTTTCTACAAAAAAACAGGGCAAAGCAGATTACGCAGAGAAATTCTAAGCACTATGTTGGTTTCATTGAACTATCAAGTTCAGAATCAGCAGGTTAGTTTTGAAAAAGAATAACTTTCCAAAAAACGTGTAAAATTTCAATAAATTTGACATTTTCTAAGGCCATAATTTTTTTTTGCAAAACGCAGGGCATAGCCGCTTGCGCAAGTAAGATTCGCGTAACTGCTTTATTTCTTTCATTTGAACCCTTAATCTCCGATTCAGCAGGGTAGTTTTTGATAAAAATCAAAAAATTTAAAAAAAATTAACCAAAATTTCAAAAAATGGGCTTGTTTGAGGTCATAACTTTTTCCAACAAATTTAGAGAATAGCCGCTTGAGAAGGGGAGATCTCCATAATTTGTTCTTTTGATTGAAAAATTCATCTGAGATTTGTGCATTTAAAATGTGAGAAAATGAAAATTTTCAGAAGAAGTAGGCCAAAATTCCCCCTAATGAAACAAACTTTCGAAGGCCTTAGAAGATGAGGTAAAATGAAAGAGACTAGCGAAATATGCAGGCACATACAAGAGCAGCTGATTATTACTTTGGTGTCATTTTTTCCGGAAAATTGGTAAAGTAGTTTTTGAGAACAATTCAAATTTCTGCGAAAGGGTAACAAAATTTCCAAAGCGTCGCAAAAAAAAAAAAAAAAACAAATCCCATGCACCTTTAAAACAGATGTTTTTTTTTCAAACAGGACCATACACTAAATAGGACCATACTCAAACAGGGCCATATCAAAATTTTAGCAGCAGCGTATGTCATTACATGGTTTATGCTTAAATAAGCTCAAATTGTAATATACCAAAAAAGTCCTCAAAAGACACACACAGATTTTTTTGCGCTCAGCGAAGACGCAACATGAGGCCACTGGTGTTAGACGAAAATACAGATTTGCAAAACGATTCAGAGATGAAATTAAACAAGTTTTTTTCCCTTGAAAAAAGTATATGTCCGATTTTATAACGCTTGCTAATCGCAAACCATACTATTTTTCTGAAATATCAATCACGACCGCAGTTTCTTTCCCTTTTTTGAAAGTTGTAACAGCAAAAAAATTCAATGATAAAAATTAGGAAAAAGAAATGCTTTGCTTTTTTTTTTAAACACAATAACTTTGAAAATTGGCGTTGCAATTGACTTAGAAAAAAATCTTTGGAACTCAAATTACAAGAGAATTATAACTAACGAATGCGGAAACTCAGCCGAAAACGTCAAGATCTACAATGATTAGACAAGAAAGAAGGGAGTTTGTGAATCTTTTAAGAACAAATAGTTATCTGTTATTGCAGAAATAGGTGCCACATACCCAGCTCTTGGATACCCTTTTATTCATTTTGTAGACAATGAAATCGTTTATTTTATTCGAAATCGTTTTAAAAAAGAGCAGAATAGATTCAATAACTATACCTTGGCTATTAGCTGAATCGGCATTAATGCAGTTTGATTTAGCACTGTTCACATGTTTTCAAATCATTAGCTGTTTAAAATGATTCTAGTTTTATTCGTTGACAGATTTCTTTTAATTGATATCATTACTGGCATTAAAAACAGATAAAGATGATTGCTCTTCAAACTTTGGGAGAAAAGATCGTGATGCTTTTTTTATAGGCAAATAAATTTTTTAGACGCGCCTATTTCGAATGTGAAGCTCTCTAGAGAAAATATGCTCTTGAGGCCTAACAAATGAACGTTCAACTCTAACATTGCGAAATTTTGACTGACATTAACGTCCAAAATGCGGAGATCTGAAGATCTATACAGAATCATTTGGATTACTTGGTCCAAAAATATACCTGAGCATCTGATCGGAGCTGTCGAGGCAGCCCTGGCCTCACATATCCACTCCTGTGTTCATGGATACTGAAGGGGGAGTAGCCCATCATGCTGTAGTGTCTCCCGACACTCAGCTCAAACACTGGCGTCTTCCTTCTGAACGTCACTTGTGTCGCCTTAACTGGCACTCGGCCAATGGCATCTGGCGCCTACATGAAATATAAAAGGAGAAGTGAGCCATTAGTACAGTCAGAAGAAAAGATGCACATATCGCAACATTCAAATTTTTGTTTCTAAAGCTTAGAGAACAGATTGCTCATTATTAAATAGAACTTCAAAATTCTAAATTAGGTTTTGTCAAACAAAACTATCAATATTACTTTCGGGAACATTTCAAAAAAATAGATTTTGAAGATCTTTATCTCATATAAAACATTTATATAATCTTTCAAGAACAATAAATTTCTATGTTGGCAAGAGATATTGTCGCACCATGTCGTCTTTATGGCCTGGCTTCTCGTACACTGGGAACTGGAACTTCTCCACCTTCTGGGCCTCCATCCGCAAGTCATAATCATCCAGCTCATGGTCTCCTATCTCATCGAAAAAACTAACTGGAACAAAAAAAAAATCATCAGCTTCAGACGATAACGATGAATTGTAAGCATCATTGTAACATTCAATGCTTTGTTTCAACCAGATTCAGAAACAAAACTGAATAAATCACCTCTTTATGAAGTAGAATCAAACTCGATATTTTCTATTGAAAAAAAAAACTTTTGAAAATCAATTTTGATCGTATTTTCACTTGTGGAGCATATTTTACTGACACATTTTTACCAAGATGATTTTAGAAGCTTATTTTCGCACTAACCCTGCTTGACCTTTCCGATTAGACCCGCTTTGTAGTCAGTGATGAGTTGCCTCGTTTTGACGACTCGTTTGTTACATCTGTACTGGATCATTGCCTAAAATTGACAAGTTTCCTGTGTACGTGCAATTTTCAAAACAATTGTTTCAGAACCTTGAATCCCAAACTGGATCTTACCTTTCTAACAACCATTTTGAACCGTTCCTTTGCAAAGTGCCGCTTGGCAAACAAGTTGTTTTTGTAGTGGTCAAACATTGCTTGTTCCGGAGGCACCTGTATCGAAAAACCGGATTTTTTAAGCCTTTGAAAAGTACTTATTTAAAAACTTCAAGAACTTCTAATAATGTCCATACGTCGGTGGCAAGTCGAAATGTTCGACGTGTGAGCAGTTTGGTTTTCTCCCGCTCAAATTCCTCATCTGCGATCGGCTGCAGGCGTGTTTCGTTCTAAAACAGAAAAGAAACACTTCAAAAACGGGTTGAGAGGATATTTCACTAAGGCTCTGCGCAAGAAGGTCGGGAAAATGTTTCAAGACCAAATTAGGTCATCGTTTTATAAAACTTAGAGCGAAATTAAGTATTATGGAGGACTGAGTCATATGGGGCGAGTACTATCTAGTTAAAATGAAAGTCAGGATTTCAAGTTTTGTCTATTTATATAACATGAACATTACTATAGTTCAAGAGAACATTGGAAAATTTGCTGTCCGTTCATCTTGAAGATGTCCACTCGTCATAACAAAAATGAACTCTCACATGGTAGATGACAAGTGCCTGTTTCCTGTCTTCCAGGACAATCTCTCTCGCCTTCTTTGACATCGGCTGAGAGCCCAGCTGATTCTGCCTGCAAAATACACGAAACAAATCATTTCCTAAAGTTTCGCTCAAACTCGTCAGTAAAAAGATAATATGTTCCAGGCAATTTAAAGTATATTATCAATAATAAGATCCGTTTATTGATACTCAAACTGGAATATGACACGCTAAGCCAGTCTTACATGTAGTCGCACATTTCGCCCCACATTTATTAGGGGGCTTTGTGTTTGAGAAACTTTAAGGACGAAGTGTGTGAGGGTTGAAATGTGCCACCAAAGTTAAAAGGAGCGATATGTGTACAGACCCTAAAACAGACCCTAGGACTCATTTCAAACTTTAGTTCCTTAGGAATAGCTTTAGCTTTTTCTTACCATCGGAGGTTGTTGGCTCTCTCCTCCAGCACCACTTGCCTCACTGCAGACTCGAACACTGCCTCCTTCATCTGTTTGGTCCCCCGGCCACGCTTACGCATCTGCTCCAGGGCTAAAAAAACCAATTGTCATTATAACCGACGAATTCAGATACAAATTAGTCCTAATATATTTCCGTTGATATCTTGCCAATCTTGTCAAAAAGCAACACAAGGGTTCAATATACACTTCAATATAAAGATTTCGCGCGCCTATGGTGATGCTTAGTAAAGAGATTGCCTGCGTGATGTTGTTTTCACGCCTTATCCTTCGCTTCTAAAAAAGTGTAAATCTGTATCTCATCAACTAGTGAAGCATACAAAATTACCAACGAAAATATTCGCTGCTGAAATAGTTAAAATATATATCGAGCCCTGATTATGCTGCATATGCATGTCTTTGAATTGCATTATTATACACTCTTATGCAAGGAAGTGAGAAGGGAATTGAGACTTGGTTTGAGAAATTTGTGTTCAATACAAACCTTTCTTGAACTTGTCATAATCCTGGTTTCTGACTGTTAAATAGAAGTTAAATTAAAACTTAACAAAGATAACTTGTTAATGTGGAAATAGCAAAAAACTCCGATAGCATTCCGACTACAAAGGGGTAAGTAAACAAATCCAAAAAGAAACAAGGATAGCCGATGTCTGACCAAGTACCACAGACTGTTCCGATGACATTCGTACAAAACTACATTTTTTTAATCTTCCAATTAGCGTCGTTTTTTCTTCGTGGTGTAATTATAGTACCAAACAAACGGGTAGATAGTTAGTGAATTATGCGTTAAATACTACAATTGCCTTCAAACAAACAATCGCAAAATGAAAAAAAAATTCAAAAAATTTCTTTAAAATTGTTCCTAAATTTTTCAACTAAAATTTAAATTTGAGAGAATTTTTATGACCGAAAAAGCTCTTGATGAAGATTCCAAACTGGTTTCCTTTTTTAGTGAAATCAAGTTTTTTTAGACTCAATGGCCAATATTTATCTATAACGAAGGTAACTCGATCGCTTTACTCGCTCGAAATTGGACTAAAACTCAAACATTTTAAACCAGTTTTTCTCAACACCGGGGAGAATTTTTGGAATTTTTTAATGTCGCTCAAGAAATGATTGAAAGGGTTTCAATATGATATATCACTCGACCCATTCCAATGATTATTTGTGGTACCTGATTTTGCATGGAAAACAAAAAAAAAGAAAAAAACTAGAGCGAATACAAAGTTCCGCCCCATTTTCAATGGTGGGAACAAAAAACTTAAACCTACACGAATACAAAGTCCCTTTAAAAGTTTCAAATGGTCGGTCCAAAAAATTAAAAACTCAGATTCAGAAAAAAGCAAGTGAACTAGGTTACACAGAGGCGAAGCCGAGCTTCGCACCACTTGCGATACAAAACAAGAAAACGGCCACGTCGAAAAAAAAATCGAAAATTCGAAAATGTCAAAAAAACTAGAGATATCGAATTGAATTAGCCTAATTTTAAAACAATAACATGACAAGACAAAAAAAGCATCGGAAGAAAATTAATCAAGCGGTAACAAAGCCGAAAAAACCTTAGCAGAAAGCCTTTAAGCCGAAAAAATTTCAGTAATATGTATCAAGTCCCCCTTACCCTCAACACACACACAAACTTTATTAGCGGGTCAAATGAAAAAATAAGGATGCCTCTATGCTGAGAGAGTATTGGCCGAAAAAAAAAACAGAAAAAAAACAAGAAAAGCTGACAAAAAATCAAAAAAAAAATTGAGACTAGTAAAAAAATTTATTAAGACTCCATCATTCTCAAAGCAGACAAACAAAAACAGTTTTTTCGCTAGTCGAACGACGCAAAATGAGGCCATTATGCCGAAGAAATATGCCGATGAAGCCACTATGCCGATGAAAAGCCGAAAAAAATTCAAAACTACTAAAAAGTTATCAAGTCCCCCTCGACCTCAAAACACATACACAAGAAAATGGCTTTAGCTCGTCGCACAATAAAACGCGATATGAGGCCACTAAACCGATATAATATACACCGAAACCTAAGAAACCAAAAAAAAAGAAAAGAAAAAATGAAAAATGAATTTTTATTAAATCGAGTTGGTAAAATTAAAACCAGCATAAAAAGATAATTTCGTATAGGACAGATATTTGAAAAGCCAACATGCAGAAAAAAATAAATTGTAGCGGTAAGTCTGTTGCTAACAGAGGCTCCAGAAAATGAGCCCAGATGAAGAGAGGGAGAGAGAGAGAGAGAGAGAGAGAGAGAGAGAGAGGAGAGAGAGAGAGAGAGAGAGAGAGAGAGAGTCTTGTGCCTGAAGTTATTTAGGGGGAAAAAAGTCTAGTACCCGATTGTAATACCCTTGCTTATTGCAAGGGTAATAAGCTGCAAAGACAAGATGCAATAAGAGCTTAACTAATGCATAAAACTCAGTTGCACTAAATCGAGAGTTCAGTCTGGTCGTTTCATTTGTAAATTTCCTGTTATTCAGTCTTAAAAACGGGGAAAAAATCAATGTTTTAACTTTTATTTTTGAATTCCAAACAAGACTTATAGGGCTTCAATATGATACCATGCCAGACCCCTTACGAGCTTTCCTTGAGCACCTGAAATTGGGTAAAAAACACTATACGCCATAGTTTTTCCCGTTACTTTGTGACGTGGTCGAAAAAAAAGCATGGGTAACAATTCCCATTACAAGTTTTCAAAACTAGCCGAACATCGGCTTTGTTTAGTCTTACTCCAGCCAGCATCCGAAAAATGGACAAAATTTTGGCCAAAAATATGAGCAAAGTTTTCATACATTTTTCCATCTCGAATATAACTTTTTTTTTACACAGAGGCGAAGCTGCGCTTCGCAAACACTTGCGAGAACACGACCAAAAAGCAGCTCTATCAAGTGAAAAAATAAAAAGTAGAAATGAGCCTCGAAATTGCAAAAAATCGAGGCTTAGCAAAAACGCGAATTAGCAAAAATCTGCGACGTAGCAAATTTGAACCTCATGCACTAACCATTCAGCCACGGATGCTTAAAATCCCCAAGAAACTAGCCACCAATGACGCATGTACATATGCTAATAAATTGCCACTTCGATGCAGCAAAAGTAGCACCAGATGCAAAAAGTAGCACCAAATGCAAAAAGAAATTATGCATTTCAAAAAATTGCGAGATACATTGAGTTAGAAAATTACTAAAATTGATATTATATTATTGGTATGTTGTTTGAAAAAATAGCTTTTTCCGTTCACTTGCTGAATTTAAAAAGCTTCAACTGTGTAAACCTGTAGCTATTCGAATGTCAAAGCTCATTTTATCAATAAGCTGTAAAGCTGCAATAAATAAGCTGTCATACCAATTCGATGCTGAAAATATTGAAGCACATATAGTAGTCACAACAATATTTGTGACTTAGGTTGAAAAAAAAAAAGAAATTTCGTACTATAACACATTGCTTCGCAAGTGTAAATATATTAGTTTTTAAAGCGAATTAGCCAAAACAATTACGCATATCTCATCTTAAAGATTGAGAAGTTGTGTCTCTCACCGTTTTTGAGGTCCTTGATTTTGAGTTTTCCTTTCTGCTGAGTGAGGACGTAGTTCACTGCATGCACATTGTTCAGGTTGAGAGGAAACCGATGCCCATTGAACTCGACTTCCTGGAACGCAGCAAAGGTGTGAGCAACGTTTTAAATGGATAACTACAGGAAAAAGATCACAATACTTTTCTTGCTCCATTATTCAATCAGTGCGGGATATGTATTACGGCAGCCTGATGTTTTTTCAAATTTTTCAAACTAAACAATACTAGTGTCAAAACAACTGTTAAATTCTTACCATTGATTGTGATATCAAGTTAGCTTCTTGGTTTTTTGAGTCCTGTTTCTTTTTCCGTAACTTTTTTTCCAAGAAGATTCGCTCGTTGTCTTTTTTATCCAAGGAATCACTCTGCAACTTAGTCATCTGTTCTTTATTGAACTTCGCCTCTGTCAAGTATCGGTGGTGGCCTGGAACCGCGTGACCCACTAAGCTGCAGAAAAGGGGCGATGAGCCGAACTGAGAGATAAGAAGTTCTAGTCTGAGAATCGCGGTGCTAAACTCTTTGGGTGCGAAAGTTACGCATATGTCTGTCGACCCATTGGCGGGCACAAGGCCTGGAACAACAGCATCAGTATTATCAAAAAAACACAAAAAATTGACTTTTTCAATCTTAAGCGGGTAAATAATCAATCTAATTATGGCCCAATGTCCTTCAATAGCAAAAAAAATATTGTTTGACTTTGCTCAATGATTTTTAAAAATAAGCTGATTGAGCATACCTTCACGCGGAGTAATAGAGAATGCCTCATGAGGCGTCGGTATCCGAACTTGAAACTCGAAGTCTATAGGAGCTGTGCAGTTCAGAGGTATCCTGTACTGAGTTGTCTCCCCCAGGGGAGTGAGTGGTAAGATGACGGACTCAGGAAGGGCCTCATTTCCACTCATAATAGGGTAAGCGTGTAAAGGAATTGTTATGTTCTCTTCATCCTGAAAGAGTAAGTAGACTTCAACTGCTAATTTAATCAGTAAAAATTTCCATCTTAAATTTATTTTCACTACTGGTGACCTAGAGACACTTAATGATCATTATTTGCAGATTTCGAGTCGTTTCATTCCTACTCACCTTGCAATGTATGCGGATGGTGTCTGTGTAGTACCTCCACTCTTCGGGATTGAAGATTACCTTCATATCCATGAAAAGACCAGGCACACATCTCTCCGGTTTGGTGAAGCTAACTTTAAAGTGGGGTGTAGTTGGTGGGATGATATGCCACCTTTGGACGTGAGCCGAAACATTAGTCAACCGCTGAAACACCAACGATAATTTTATTTGGTAGTACCGACAACAATCAGATCTGCATTATCATTTAGTTTGATACCGATTAATCAACTTTAATCAACAATCAAGTATGAAAAATTTCATTGCAGGGAGGTTCTTCAAGAACACAATTTCCTTTTCTCTGAATAAGAAAGCTCCAGCAATTAATTGACAGTGACGCTCACCAGTTCTTTGACAATTGACTCGCCCACAGTGAAGCCAGCAAAGTGCAGAGACTTAGGCTCAGCTTTAACGACATTGCTTTGTCCAATTTTCGAGAAAAACTCTAAACAGCAAAGCAGAACATAAACTATCATTAAAATTGAGGAGCAATTAATAGTAGTAATTAGAAGCCAGAATAAAATTCTGGGGTATACACAGTATAAATTTTTTCTCTTTTTTTTGTGTTTGTTAATTTCAATAACTCCATTCGAATTTCATAAATTTGGGAAAAGTAAAGTAGAACATGAATAAAAGTAAAGCGTCAGATGGCGAGGAATCAAGCAAGTCAAGCAAAATATAATAAATTAGAGGTGAGAAATTATCATGGTTCCCGAAGTTACTACAAGTCCTTCATCATTTCAAACTCCAGCAAGTGATTTAGAATGAGCAATATCGTACTAATTCGGGCAATTGAATCATTAAAGGGTACAAGTATGATATTTCGGTCTCTTCATTTTAGATGGGTCCCTGTAGAAAAGTTTTTAGGTCTCAAAATCTTCAAAAACATGATTCGCATTTGTTACTTGTGGTTTTTGAAGTTTTCACAAAAATTGCGGGACTTATGTTTCATACTTGCTTTGTCCAGCGACCGAACTGTCATACTTTCACCCATTGAAGAACACTCAGATACCTCAGGACCGCACTCAGGCGCTCCATTGAATCTTCGAGGATAGATATCAAAAACGAAACAAAACTTCTTCCTAGACTTACTTCTTTCCGTCAACGCGTTTGGGGGCGCTCCTGATGGAACAGGTGCGACCAATTGAGAGGGAACAGCGATGCACGAGAAGCCCTCGGGTGGCCTGCTGTCAACCGTAGCCATGCTAATCAGTGTGATTTTCTCTTCAGCCTAGCCATTGATTTTCTCTAAAAACAATTTTTGAGCTAAAGCAAATGATTTTCTCTAAGCAACTAAAAACAATTTTTGAGCTAATTATTTAGAATTCACTTTCGCTATGGATACAAATTCACACAATAGATAACAATATAGCTTTTGAAAAGCTATTATCACAGAATAGCTTTTGAAAGAGAAAAAAGTTAGAAGACGAAATCAATCTGTGACGCTGTAAAACTAATAGATACAGAACACGACATTGCAAAAACAATTACTCGAAAAAATTGAAAACAGAAGAAAATGTTATCTATATCAATTAACTTGTCTGTAAATAAAAACCGATGACAAATAACCTCGCAAATCGACTTTCGATTCTAAGTTCTTTACTTTTTTAAAAACTGACATGTTTTCAGAGCTAGCGGTCAGTTCATTCGAAAACTAGAAGAACAAAAAAGATGGAAACAAAAAAATTATCCTGAGAAAAATTCATACATGATGTTATTTGTTGTACATATTGATTATGAAACTCTTAACTAAACAAAATTAATTTACAATTTGAAAAAAAAAAATACACTGACAGTTATTGCTCCCCCCGAAGCAGAGCAATTCATAACTAGCATCAAAAGCGAAGGAATCATTCTACTTAACAGGACGGTATTTCCCATGGGATGCTTTCCAAGGTCTCATAGACCCAAGAACATTTACCCTAAACTAGCAAAAATCAAATTGTCGAACTTGCCTTATGTATGCAACGATATCGAAGCGAAATTAATTCTCCAATTGCCAGAAGACATAATTCGTAGCCCCATATTCCAACGTGAGACCTGCATCGTAACTGAACCTGGTCAGTATGTTTACACAGGAAGAGCAATTTTAGAAGTTAAAATACAAAACGAAGAACAAGAGAAAAAGCTGAAGGACTGGTCTTATAAATCGAGAATGGATGGCTTCAAAATGTGGGAAGGTGTAGAAATCTCGTTTCACATACCTTCACTACATGAATGTCAAAAATGCAAGATGTCTGGACGCCAAGAAAAAGGTCATCACGATGATTGGTGTAACATAGGGAACCAAATAACCAAAAATCCAAATCATCACTACCCACAAAAACCAAGCTCCAATAATGCCAGCGACGAGAAAAACGATGACGAAACAATAAGCGATAAGTTTTGTAATGGTACCGAAAATGAAGAAGATAAGAATGTTGAAGCACCACCATCAGGAGTTTTGATTGATGAATCTAAAACAAACAGTGCAGCTACTCCAAGCGAAGAAAAACAAAAGGATGAGGTTCTCAACAATCAGGTCGTAAATTTTCATTCTTACTCTGCAAAAGAAAAAAAGACAAATTAAATATCGAAAATAACAAACGAAAATGTTCCTCTGACGGAAGAATGCTTACAAAAGAGAGCGTGAAACTTCACCAACCTCTTGGTCAGTTTTAACACGGAAGAAATGGCCAAAGATGAAATCTAAAAATAACGGAGAAGACTTGGCTGGAGGGAAGTTTTAGCAAAAATTTCTATGTGCGAAAAACCAGATATTTTTTCCGTTAATATTTTTAGCATAGGAAATCCAGCTAAATTACACTCACTTATCAAAAAATGCCAAGTTTTAAAAAAATCGCCCAGTTTCATTTTGTGCATTCAGGAAGCAAAAATATCGAAACTTACAAATATACATTTGAGTTTACTGGATAAATATAATGTTTTATTCGATTTCATACCGGGCTCAAATAATTCTGGTGGTTTCTTAACGTTATGGTCATCAAACTTGAGTCCTGCAAAAAGAATTGCTTCAAGTACAGGTTTTCAATTGTTAAAATTTGTCAAACTTGATTGGTTTGTTATCAACGTTTATGCGAACCCAATTTCATTCCGAGCAACTTTGAATTCCCTGAAATTAAGCATCAGATTTTTACCTAACAAATCGAAAACTATCATGATGGGTGACTTTAATGCGCTGAGTTATGAAAATATTAACAGTTCTTCAATACTTAAGTTAAATGATGCACGTATCAAACGATTTACCCAACTCAAAGAACAAATTCTTGACTGTTTTGGTTTTGTTGATTTTGCACTCAAGAATGATTTTTGTGATTATACACATTATGACAAACAACATAAAACTTTTGCACGCATAGATTATGTCTTCTTAAAATTCGAAACAGAGTATGATTCTATGCAAAGCATTCAAATATCAATATCTGACCATTTACTCTTACACGTTTTTGTTAAGCCATCTAACTTGTATCAGCGCGGCCCTAGTTACTGGAAATTAAATGAAGAAATTTTAAACAACAACGCCAGCTTAATTCGTGAAGACCTAAAAAACTTTTACGAAAACGAATCACCAAGTAGTTACGAAAATTTTAAGCACAATTTTCGTGACCTTCTGAGGTTTATTCAAGAGAACAAAAAGCGTGTAGATCAGAAAGAACTTAATTTATTGAAGTATCACGAAAATGTTCTCAGAGATTGCATTCACAGCGGAAAAGGTCCCAACCCTAATTTGATTGAAAAATATCATTTGGTGCTGGAACATCTTCAAAAAGATTCCAAGGAAAAAGATTTTTCAGATTATCGAAAAATTCAGAAAACTCTCAGCTATACATTCGAGGGTGTTCCCAAATTTTGTAGTCAATGGACATCAAAGAACACAATCAACTCAATCAATAGAATTCAAGTGGATCAGAACGTTTATCATACGGATGAAGATATTCTTAATCAATTTCGAAAGTATTTTTCAAATATTTTTTCAAATAGTTCTACAACAGACTCCGATCAACTACTAAAGACATTTTTATCAAAAAATAAACTCGAAAAAAATAAGAATGATGGCTATAATTACTTTACAGAAGATGAAATTCACTTGGCTATAAGCAAATTGAATTTGAAAAGCTCGCATGGACCAGACGGCCTTACTTCTAAGCTATACAAGACTTTCACGGATGAGTTTTGTTCAATTTTAGCTAAAGTTTTTAATCATTTTGTTCATGGTGGAAAACTTCCAAACAGTTTTTATTTAGCAATAATCAAACTGATCCCGAAATCTGAAAATGCCATAGCAGTAAAAGATTTTCGCCCCATCAGCCTTATGAATACTGACGCGAAAATTTTTGCCCATGTAGTCTGTAATCGATTTAAAAATGACCTTTGCAAAGTTGTAAAAAACCATCAGCACGCGTATTTGCCTGGAAGACAAATGCACACAGCAATACGAAAATTGAAAAAAGCGATTACTCCAGAACGATTGGCTACCCGAGGTTCATGTGCTGTAAAATTAGACTTTTCTAAAGCATTTGACAGAGTTGACAGATCACTTCTCATCAAAATTTTGAAAGGGTTAAACCTTGATGAGCTTTCAGTTAGAGCTATTGAAACTTTGTATTTAGACTCAAAAGCAGTAATTGAGATAAATGGTTTTTTATCAGCCAGCTTCAAAATTCATCGCGGCGTGAGACAAGGTTGCCCTCTTTCCGCATTTTTATTCATAATTTTTATCGAACCCCTTCTGCAAGCAATTGAATCTACAGAAGCAATTGAAGATTTCGGGATATTGTGCCCCAAACTAGTTTCATATGCAGACGACATAACTTGCCTTATCAAAATCCGATGTATTGACAGGTTGTTTCGCTTAATCGATACATTTTGCAAACAAACTCAAATGATGATTAACATAAGTAAAAGCGAAGTGCTTTCCATACCTGATTTATCACCCTATAAAACAGTCAAGGAAACAAAAATACTTGGTGTCTTGTTTTACACTTCCCAAAAAATTGAAAATATTGAATTATTGTTAAGTTCACAAATTCAAAAACATCGAGGGTTAATTTCACTAAGTAAATCTTTGAGGGCCAAATCATTAACACTGTCAGTTTATGTTCTCCCTAAGTTTTTTCATTTGGCTCGTCATACTACAGTTAACTTGGATACTGTTAGTAAATGCCAAGAATTATTAAATACAGAATTGAAAAAAACAAGCAGACTCGACATAAGAAAAGAAGTTTTATATCACCCCATCTTAGATGGTGGGATAGGCTTACCATGCCTACAACTTAAACTTTTTAGTATGAAAATTATCGATTTCTTTGCTTCTGATATGTCAGATCAAAATAGTTTATTACCAACAGATTCAATTTTACCGAAAGAAATCAAAAATTTGTTGAGAAATACGAACATCTCTATTGAAATAAGTTCAAGTGATTTTGCAATATTTTCAAACAGTACCAATAGCCATTTAATTATAACAATACAGACAAAATCGCGAGATGTTTATTATTTCTGCTTACAAAACTGTAGTTTTCATCGAGCTGTGATTTTCCGCTTGGGTTTTGCAGCAAACCGTTACCTCTGTTCAGAAGAAGAATTGATTAAATTTACAGGCAAAGTTTGGAAAAATTCAATGCTTGATGTATGGGAAAAAAACATTCTTTATAAATTTGCATACGCGGTTTTTAAAGATCGAGAAAAGCGGTGGTTTTTATTTCTCGAGAATGCCCCCGAATGTTTCTATTGTAATTTAGAATGCGAAACATTCGAACACCTAATTTTCATTTGTCCCTCGCTACAACCTTCAAGAAACATATTACAGATTAACAATTGGCGTGACGTTTTTGTATCAACCAACATTGCAAGACTTAAGTATGTTGTTTCGGTTATTCGTGGTGCATATTCAAAATTATCGACGTCATGGAAAATCAACTTGCAAACATTTGTGTCATGGGAAGTATGGAAGATGAGAAATACAAATTGCTCCTTCTGATCTAAACTATAAGGAAATGTAAGACTTCAGCAACAAACCAGGATACCCGGTATCCGGTAAAAGTAATGTCAATTGAACAAATATGATGTTATTTGTTGTACATATTGATTATGAAACTCTTAACTAAACAAATTTAATTTACAATTTGAAAAAAAAAAAAAAAAGACGCATGTGCAATATAGTTGATGTTTTTGCCTTCTGATTTCTGCACGAACTAACGGAATCTCAGCAACCAACTAATGATGAAGTGCTGATTGAAACGGAGACAAA